CCGTCCGCGCCCGGTTCCGCGCGCCGCCGCCCGCTATTCCTCAGAACCATCGCGCCGCGCTCGCACCGCCCCGGCTCTCCCGGAGAAATTTGGCGCGCTCCCCCCAACTCTCGCGAGAGACCGGAAGCGCCCGCCGCTCCCTCTGGAGGCTCGCCCCGCCCCGCCCCGCCCCACCGAGCTCCAATGGCCACGGCCGCCCGAGGGGTGGCGGCCAGATAGGGACTCAGGGAAAAGTGTGCGGAGGCGGTCGCCGCGCAAGGCGGGGTCTGTCCCCGGCCGCGCTGCGTGCCGCGGCGGGGCGGGAAATGTCAGGCCGTCCCCGCCTGGTGCGGGGTCGTGGGGCCCCGGAGGGCGCGGAGCGCGGGAGGCGATGGCGTCGGCGGCGTCGAAGCTGCGGGCGGAGGCCGGGCTCGGGGCGCTCCCGCAGCGGGCGCTCGCCCAGTACCTGCGCCTTCTGCGGCTCTACCCTGTGCTCACCAAGGCGGCCACCAGGTCGGCGCGCAACGGCCACGGAGGGGACGGGACCGGGCGGGGGGCGGCCCGTAGCTCGGCCGGCCTCGGGGACCCAGCCACGTAGATGCATCCTGTGCAGGGATTTGAGTGCCAAAGGCAAAATGTCCGGGTGTCAAAATGACCTCCCAAAGGCCTTCAGTTAGCCCGAGAGCTCAGCATAGGCGGCTTGGTGCATTCGGTCCTCACAAGTAGTTAACCAGGGGCCAGACCGAAGGAAGGCACAAAGCGAAGGGCTCCAGGCAGACCTCCTGCCCTGGACGTGACCTCCGGCCCTGGAGGTGACCTCCGGCCCAGCTTCTCCGCGGGCGGTCGAAGCCTGACCTGCGCTTGTTCTGAGGTTAGAGTGGCTCAGGCGCGACGTGTTAAGATTTGTTTTTTTAGTCAGCTTTGCATTCGGCAGAAAGGTGACAACCCCCCTCCGCCCTCCGCACTCTCCCCTCCCCCGTCTGCTGGTCAGTTGCACCCTTTGATTTGGGGTACTAAACTTTTTATGAGACATCGTCCTCCTCCATTACTTTAATTACTTAATTTTATAAGTTTGTCCGCTTTTGTTAAAGCCAGCTTTTCATAAGTAGGTACAGCACGCTTCCTGCGTGTCAGGCATCGGCAGCAATCAAGAGGGTAGGGACCCTCAAAGGCGTTTCTATTCTAGTGAAAGAGTAGAGGATAAACAGATAAATACATAGCACAGATGAAGTGGTCGGGGAAGGTGACATTTGAACGGGAGGCCTGAATGAAGGGAGGGAACGAGGGGAGCCAAATCTCCCTGGGCAGAGGGTACTTCAGGTGCAAAGATCCCGAGGGAGGAGCAAGCTAATAATGGAGGGGCGGAAGGAAGACTGTGTTGCTGGAGACATGAAGAGCCGAGAAAGGAAGCAGATGAGAAAGAGGTAGCCAAGGGTCAGCTCAAGAAGGTGCTTATCACCCATACAAAGAATTTTGACATTTTTAGCCCACGGAGCTTATCAGAAGGTAGCTGTAGACCAAGCCTTGGAGCAACTGGACCTGTCTCCACCTCTCTATTGACATTTCTGTTGTGATCACTGTAGTTTACATGCGGGTGTAAGAAAGAATACAGGGAGATCCCTCACACACTTTGCCCAGTTCCCCCCATGGGTAACATTTTGTAAAAGTGTAGTACAATATCACAGCCAGGCACTGGCACAGACACAGTCCACAGATCAGATTTTCCTGGCTTTCGTTCTGCTATGCCCACCTTTTGACATAGGGACCCCACACTGGGGCTGCCTTAAAAACCTGCTTTAGGGGCGCCTGGGTGGCTCAGTCGAGCGTCAGATTCTTGATTTCAGCTCGGGTCGTGATCCCAAGGGTCGTGGGATTGAGCCCTGCGCCAGGCTCCGTGCAGAGTGTGGAGCCTGCTTGGGATTCTCTCTCTCTCCCTTTGCCCCTCTCCACCACTTGCGCTCTCTCTAAAATAAAAAATTAAAACTAAAAACCTGCTTTAAAAAGGACTCCTCTCTACACACCCCACCATGATCTCAGAACAGCCACGCTAAGTACATGCAGGAATGGCCCCCCTCTTGCTGGTTGCCCCCGTTTTCTGATGACATCTCTGTCCACAGTGGCATTTTGTCAGCACTTGGGAACTTCCTGGCCCAGATGATGGCGAAGCAGCGGAAAAAAGAAAGCTCCCAAAAGCTAGATGCCAGTGGGCCTCTCAGATACGCCATTTATGGGTGAGTTTCACAAAGGGGCTGATCTAACCAGCAGCAGACTAACCATGACAAAGCTAGGGTATCAAGACCAAGTCTCTGAAATAACCTAATTTTGAGAAATAATTTTTAAAAAGTGTTGAAGTAATCATGGGGAAAAAGTCAGAATGATGGATAACATTAACTTGTTTTATGGTTTTCATTTTTTTTTTAAATTTTTTTTTCAACGTTTATTTATTTTTGGGACAGAGAGAGACAGGGCATGAACGGGGGAGGGGCAGAGAGAGAGGGAGACACAGAATCGGAAACAGGCTCCAGGCTCTGAGCCATCAGCCCAGAGCCCGACGCGGGGCTCGAACTCCCGGACCGCGAGATCGTGACCTGGCTGAAGTCGGACGCTTAACCGACTGAGCCACCCAGGCGCCCCCTGTGGTTTTCATTTTGAATCACATGAGTGGGGGTGGCTGTCCTCATTGGGCCGAGAGATCTGAGGGCAGATAATTCACCTGAACCTAAATTAGACTTCAAGACACAAAGACCGTGAAAGGGGAAAACTACTCAAATATTGCAGTCGTTTCTGTTATTTTCATAGCTTAAACAACCAGAAAAATACTTAGGAAAAATGTCCAGTTTCAGAATCACTTTTGGAACTGCAAAGAACACAGAGATTCAGGAGTTTTACCCAATTAAATCCACATCACGTTCTCTGGCCAACAATACTGTTTGTATAGATGGATTATTTTGAAGTCGTGTTTTGTTTTTGATCTAAAACTCACAAATATCCCTTCGTCCTCGGAAGCCCGCTGGTTGCAGCCACCACAGCTGTCCTGTAATGTAGATAAAGAGAAGCCATAATCCTCCTGGAGGGAAGGAGGGAGTCAGGATCACCTGAGAGGCCTCACCCACTCACGGTTTATGGCGTTGACTTCCGTTCCCTCTCACTGAGGACCTGCTCCCGGCCACATAACCTGTGGCAGGACAGGAAGCCACAGCTGAGAACCACTTGTTTAAGGACTTTAGTGTCAAAAATGAGAAGACCCTTAGGTCCCTACCCCCCATTTTATTGCTGAATCTTACGGAACTGTGGATGTGTTTTACCAGCAGATGGCGTGGCTGGGTTCAGTTCTGTCCCAAGCATTCTACACTTGGGAATGCACAGTAGCAGGACAGACAAGCCAGTGCCCAGCACCAGGCTTCACTCTTGCTAACTACCCAACAGGGTTTGCTAAGAAGCTCTAATACCAGGGGTGCCCCCACTTACTTACTACTGAGCACCTCCTCTGAGCCAGGCCACGTTCTAGGCGCTGTGGACACAGCAGTGATGAGACAGACACAATCCGTCTTGTGACGCGTACCTGCAGCAGGGCGAAGAGGGCACCACGTGACTAAACAAATGAGATGAGGACATGTAGTGATAAATGCTATGAAGGCAGTGGAACAGGACCTGGAATTGAGAGTGGCTGAGACAGCAGCTGGTGCGTTGTCCAGAACAATCAGGAGGTCTCCAAGCTGACAGTGTTGAGAAGGAGCTGGCCGCGTGAAGATTGAGGGGGGATCTGGTCTATCAGGGACAAAAGACAATGCTTGAAGCAGATTCAAAGAAAGCCTGTTTTCTAGAAGGACCACACATACCTGTGTGGTCAGGGATGGGGGGCCCAGGGAGCAGGGCTTAGGACCTGGGGTTGGGGGGTGAAGCTGGACGCAAGAAGGACACATCCAGGAAATGGCAGTCCTGCTCACCCCCGCTGCGGGGCCTCAGGTTCTTCTTCACAGGGCCACTGAGTCACTTCTTCTACCTCTTCATGGAGCACTGGATCCCTTCTGAGGTCCCCTGGGCTGGGGTCAAGAGGCTCCTCCTGGACCGCCTCCTCTTTGCACCGGCCTTCCTGTTGTTGTTTCTCCTCGTCATGAACTTCCTGGAGGTTGGTCGCTGCCATAGTACTTGCGATAGCTCTTTGCGGGGCACAGCGATTCTTGACCTGGCATCTGTGGGTGGAATGCAGAGGGTCTGTGAACTTTCCAGCACACCAAAATTGAAACTTCTCTCTCTTGTTTTTATGAATGTCAGACACAAACCCCAGTCATATTGGCGGTACCTGTCGGTCTGCAGTAAGAAATCACAGAGGTCTTGATATCACACATCCCAAAATATCTTTTATGTTTCTGGACCCCCTGCACCTGCCTTCAAGTCTTGTCACTGAATGTGTTAAGGAAGCACATATACTGGTCTATCATAAGATTCTTTAAAAAAAAAAAAATTTTTTTTTTAACGTTTATTTATTTTTGAGACAGAGACAGAGCACGAACGGGGGAGGGTCAGAGAGAGTGAGACACAGAATCGGAAACAGGCTCCAGGCTCTGAGCTGTCAGCACAGAGCCCGACGCGGGGCTCGAACTTGCAGACTGCGAAATCATGACCCGAGCCAAAGTCGGCCGCTTAACCGACTGAGCCACCCGGGCACCCCAATAAGATTCTTTTCTGAGTATTTTGGTAGCTGTATTCAGTATAGTTCCCTGGTAATCTTATATATGTTATATAAACAGGATTCTGAGAAGGGGGTCTCTGGGACTCACGACACAGAAGTTTCAGGCCCCTAATGGTATCGCAGAAGCCTGTGCTAATTCAGTGCCTGAACATCATAAGTGCTCTGAAGAGGCTAACAGACCAGCATAGACTGAAAACCTCACAACTCACCGCAGGAGGTGTGTTCACGCAAATCACTAGGCATGTCTGTTCTAACGTGCCCAGCCTAAGACCCTTCCCAGTTCACTACACCTCCAGCCTCTCACCATCTCTCTGTCCACTGTGTGCCTGAGATGTGTCCTGTTCTGCCCTGAAAGTAATCGTTCCAACCAATCACATTCTGCCCTGAAAGTAATCGTTCCAACCAATCACAGCAGGCAAATGCTTCTGCAGGTTTTATTTTGAAGCAGCACCTTGAGGTCTTATTACTGAAGAGAATGCCCCTGTGGCCAAAAGTGATCCTTGCGGGGGAAGCAGGAAAGATGCGTAATCTCAACCATGATTGCTAGTAAGTCCTTGATAGTAAGAAGAAGTGTTTGGGAAGCCGTTAGAAAACCTGAGGTAGGTGGGGCGCCTGGGTGGCTCAGTCGGTTAAGTGTCTGACTTCGGCTCAGGTCATGATCTCACGGTCCGTGAGTTCGAGCCCCGTGTCGGGCTCTGCTGACAGCTCAGAGCCTGGAGCCTGCTTCGGATTCTGTGTCTCCCTCTCTCTCTGCCCCTCCCCTGTTCATACTCTGTCTCCCTCTGTCTCAAAAATAAAATAAAACGTTAAAAAAAAAAAGTTAAAAAAAAAAGAAAAGAAAACCTGAGGTAGGAAGCAAAGGATACCCACATTAGAAGTGAAGGTACAGGAGTGTCTCTTTTTTTTCCTTCTAGCTATGAAAGGAATATATTTTTCATTAATAGACAAAAACCCTAAATCCACGTATCGTATGTTACCAAGGTGTGTAAAGCGCCCAACATAAACGCCTTGTGTTGGACCACGTTATATCACACACACGATAGATGCTTCTGCATCTGCATTAAAAAAAATCTTTTTAATTTGAATATAGGTGACCCACAATGTTATGTTAGTTTCAGGTGTGCAGCACAGTGACTCAACTTCTCAATACATTACACTATGCTCACCGCAAGTGTCAGCATACAACTCTGTTAAAATATCACTTTCTCTCTTCCCTGCGCTGTGCCGACGTCTAGCATTTCTTGATCATAGACATCATGTTTGGACCACACAGTGTTTGCTAGTCCACCATATGTCCGTCCCTTATCCAAAAAGGCTGTCCTCAACGTGTCCTCCCTGCGGTGGTACAGAGTAATACAAACGGCAGCCATCTATGAGCACTTGTTCCAAGCCCCACGTTGAGCCCTTCGTGTCATTTGAGCCACAAGGCAACCCCATTTTACAGATGACAAAGCTGAGGCCCATGGCTTAAGTTCTCATAACTTACGAGCCCTTGAATCGAGTCAGACCCAGGCTTTGTGACCCCAGAGCTTCTTTCTCCTCCACGTGAGGTTTGTTTCCCCACATTCTTGACAATCATGGTTATATTTTTCTTTTAAATAGTTTGCAGGTTGATATGTAAAAACAACATATACATCTTTATAAGGCCGAATATCTTTTTATACACCTCCCATATTCTATGAACTTTGCTTATTTTCTATCAGTGTAGTCTTTTTCTCACTGACCGTGTGTTTGTATATATTAAGGAGATCAATCCTTTGCCGGATACAAATTGCAGATATTCTCCCCATTTTTTAGGTGTTTGTCTTTTTTTTTTTTAAATGTTTATTTTTGAGAGAGAGACAGACAGCATGAGCAGGGGAGGAGCAAAGGGAGAGGGAGACACTGAATCCGAAGCAGGTTCCAGGCTCTGAGCCGTCAGCACAGAGCCCGACGCGGGGCTCGAATTCATGAGCCGTGAGATCATGACCTGAGCTGAAGTCAGACGCTTAACCGACTGAGCCACCCAGGCGCTCCTAGGTGTTTATCTTTTTTTTTTTTTTTTTAATTTTTTTTTTCAACGTTTATTTATTTTTGGGACAGAGAGAGACAGAGCATGAATGGGGGAGGGGCAGAGAGAGAGGGAGACACAGAATCGGAACCAGGCTCCAGGTTCTCTGAGCTGTCAGCACAGAGCCCGACGCGGGGCTCGAACTCACGGACCGCGAGATCGTGACCTGGCTGAAGTCGGACGCTTAACCGACGGCGCCACCCAGGCGCTCCTAGGTGTTTATCTTTTAACTTCCTGTAAAGTTAAACATTTGAAGTTACAAAAATAGTTCATTTATAGTGTGTTTCTCCATGCAGGAGTTTAAAAAATTCATGTATTCAAATACGTGATTCTTTTTCTTTGTGGGTTTCTTTAAAGGAAGAGACTGGAAATATTCTCTTAAACTTTGTTCTTTTCCTCTTATGATATTATGTGCATTTTGACAAATGCAAACATAATAGAAATATTCTATATTTTCCTCCAGTATTCTTATTTTTTTAATTATATGTGGGAGATACACTTGGCTTGTTTCTTCCACTTCAACTGCAAATTATCTCATTGCCATTTATCAAACAATCCCGTGCCTCGAAGTGTCAACTTTATCATATACTGCCATTCTCATATGTACAGGCCATTATCTGGACTCTTCTATCTTTTGCTGGATTCTACTTCCATCGTATGTCTTTTATTTTTTAGCTTTTAATTACCATAATTATTAGTATTAATTACCATAGAGTATTTTTTAAATCTTCAGTAATTTAGGCCTCCCCTGTTATTATTTTTCAAGATAGTTATTTTTTATGCACTCATCCTTTCAGATGACATTCAGAATCACCTTATTGGGGCTCATTTTTTAAAAACTCCTGACAAGTTTTGCTTGAAAAACGCATCAATTTTGGAGGCCATTTTGGGCAACACGAACAGCCAGGCCATAAATAGCAGCTCTGGTGCCCGCTGCCAGCAGTACGGGTCACACCACTTAATCAGCTCTTCGAGGAGCGATGAGGGTCTGTGCGGGCAGTGGGCACAGGATGAGCCAAGGGGAGTCTCACCGTCGGCTTTCTGACCAGGTGACTGGCTCCTGATCCCTGCGGTGCTAATGAGACACACCGATGTGCTGTCTCTATACAAATGGAACAAAATCCACAGTTTTCAAAACCATCGTGTTAGGGTTTGGGGCCCTCCAGACCGTGGCACCCCCGCTTCAGTTCCGAGGGCAGTGGTGGTCACTTACTGTCCACACTCCCCTCCTTTCCAGGGGAGAGACGCAGCTGCTCTCTCTGTCCAGATAAGGAGAAGCTTCTGGCCGGCGCTGCGCATGAACTGGCGAGTCTGGACCCCAGTGCAGTTCATCAACATCAACTACGTCCCTCTGCAGGTGAGGGCCAGCTGACACCATGCGGAGCCCGAGGGGGCCTCATCCTCCACCAGCCTTGTTCCTTCTTGGAACCATTGGTGGTTTTCTCTCCGCGCAGAATCATTAGCAGCTTTGGATGTGGACGGGCGAAGCGTGTGCCCACACCTCATCCCTTGGTCCCAGAAACATTTCTGAAAAGCCTCCAGTCCAGGACAGCTCGAGTTTTCCAGGGGCGCAGCGTTGCCAGTGCCTGGCCCCGTGGGTCACAGCTGGGCTTGCGTGCGGGAGCCGAGCGGTGGCCGTGCCCAGCAGGGTGAGGGGCAGAGGCGAGTCCGGCCTTACCTGCCCTGACATCAGCGTGCGCCTGAGCCCTGAGCGGCAAGCGGCAGGCAGGACCCTGGGGGCAGGGATGCTGTCGGGGCGCCGCGCACCAGGTTCAGCCCTTCTGGGCACCGGGGGTCGCGGCCCGAGGCAGGCTGCCGAAACTGGGCCTCCACTCAGCACGGTGGGAGCCTGGAGGGGCTCTGAGCTGCAGGAAGACCTCACCAGGGCAAGGCTGAGGGGCCCGCGGTCCTGCGCCGTCTTTACACACCGAGGACAGCCCACCTGTGTCCCGCCCCAAGACCACGCCCAGGGCTAGAGATCTGGAGGCGGGGCTTGGCACAGCGTCTGCTGACGGCCGTGGGTGTATTACAGCCTCAGAGCAAGGATTTGCAACTGCATCTTAGGAATCCACTGCAGCCTTCCTACGCTCCCTCCCTCCCGTGAGGCTCACGCAGGGCAAGCTCTCACCCACCAACAAAACGCAGCAACACTCAGGCCACGTTTCTGTCCAGGGAAGCCCTGTAAAGACCCAGTGCCTGGGGTTTGGGGGAGAGCTAGTCACATAGGCACCCTCTGCCTGGTGCTTACCAGAATTCCAGACTCCCAGAAGGAAGAGTCAGTGCTCAGCAGAACTGCTTTGTTTTAGCGAGCAGTCTAAGCACAGAGGCCATTCTTATCCGCTGGGGAAAGGTAGGAACCCACAGGAACTCTAAGTTCCCAGAGCCCAGGCAAGGGCTAGCCACTCTGACAGGCCTTTCCAAGGAGAGCAGCCTCAAGCTTTTTTTTGCACACCATTTAAGTAACCTACTTGGTTTCCCCCTGCTTTAGAAAGGAGAGACAGACCTGAGGCAGAACCCCCTGGAGCAGAGCTCCATTGCAAGGATGGGAAGAGGGAGGGAGGTGCAGGCCGGGTGGTCACTCACACACACACATACACACACACACCAAGGAGTAGCAGAAAACCAGAAGGTGGCAGTGACACAAGCACAGTCACTGCAGGGAGTTAAAGGAAAATGAAAATCAGTTAGTTTCATGGACTTTAACAACAATCCTCATCAGTGACCTTCCCAGGAGCAATTTCAGTGGCTCCGTGAGGGCTGAAGCCAGGCTGCTGTGAATTGAGCAGTGGGTGGGGAAGGAGAAAAGAAATCGTTAAGTCTGCGAAGTTCTCTCACGAAGTGTGTGACGAGGTGGGGAGAAGTGATAGGAGAGGGTCTCTGAAGGTTGGAGAGGCCATATTCTACCCTAAAGAGGGTGCATGGGGTTTGGACACAGGCAGAGGGATGCTTTGGACAGAGGCTCTTCTTTACTAAGCCAAGAGAGTGGTGCCTGTTCACTGGTGACCTCCCATCCATACCTCTTTCCTTGGGGAAGGCAGAGGCCAGGGCGGGGCCCCACTGAGGCAAAAGGAGGTAGGATGGGTACTTGGAGGGGAGAGGAGGGGCAAGCCTGTAGAGGACGGCAGAGGGAGCCGACTGGAGCCCCTCGCGTGCGTGGACCGAGGGCCCCAGGGTGGCAGGGGAGCAGGGAGAATGGAGCTTTGCCAAGGAGTATAACCAAGGAACAGGAAGGGAAGGCAATGAGGGCTTTGGGCCTTGTATTCTAATGTATGTAGCAAAGGAAACAGACACAGAGAGGCAGAAGGGCTGAGGATGTGAAGGGGTCTGTGGACGGGAGAGTAGGAGAGCCTAGAAAATGGAACCCTTCTGGGCCCCCTGGGGACAGAGCGCCAGGAGGCTGTGGTCACGGTTTCCATTTGAGGTGGTCGCAGGCAAGTGCCTCAGGGGCAGTGAAGCTTATTAAGCAAATACCGAGCACCTACTGTATGCCCCACTGTTCTAAACTCTAGGCGTGCAGTGATTAACAAGACAGACCAGACCGCTACTTTCATGGAGCTTATATGCCAGGGAGACTCCCTGACTAAAGGCATTTCAGGTGGGAGTACATCCATGAGAGCATCAAAGCAGGGTAATGGCTTGGGGTGGGGGGGCTGGCGGCCACCAGCGGGCTGGGTGAGGCCACCACTTGACCAGTCCTGGGCTGGGAAGCTAAGCCAGGAGCTAGTGCTCAGCGAAGGAGGATGTGGGACAGTTCTCGTCAGTTTCCCCTCCTGGCCTGTAACATGGCTAGGCAGAGTCCCGCTCACCCCTCCAGCACGGTGCTCAGTACAAAGTAAGGCTCAGTGAATACAGTAGTAGGGGGATGGGCTCAGTCCTGTGGGATGGGTGCCTGGGAAGCGCAGTCAGGACTTCGCTCACTGTGGCCTGTGTTCGCTTTGGCAGTTCCGGGTGCTTGTTGCCAACCTGGTGTCTCTGTTCTGGTACATCTACCTGGCCTCTCTGGGGAAGTGAAGATGGCCTGGAGTGAACACACCCAGCTGTGTAGGGACACCTGCCTAGGGTGAAACAAGAGCAGAAACCACCTGGTCAAGACTGTAGCTGACTCCAGATCACGTGGTTCAAGATGGCGAAACAATCTGTTAATGTTAAGAATCTTGTGTTTCAAAAAGGTAGAAACCGTCTTCGGGTGATGCTGCCTCAGAGTCGTAAAATGCAGTAGCAATGATTGCACTTGTCACCCTGAATTGAGTTAGGACAACAATAAACTATAATGTAGCCTTTTCCGTGATGGTTTTAATTTCTCAGAATAATTGCTGTCACTTTGGAAGAAGAAATGGGTGGCTAGAGGGCTCAGATTTTTTTTTTTTTTACTTTAAAAAAAAGTTGTGGTTAAATCTGTTCTACAACTGCTTACCTCCGTGGAGCCGTTGGAAAAGGGCCCTTCTAGAGCAGGATTTTGCCCTGTGAGAACCATACGCCACCTTTCAGTGGATTTTCTGCTCTGTTATCACTCATTTGTTAACCTTCCTTCTCACCTTTTCTCATTCTCAATATCCCATTCTTGTTTCATAGCTACAATATCCTTGGATCTTAATTTTATATTAAAAAATCTCTCTTCTGTTGCATATGCTGTTTCTATTTTCTCAGGGTTCACTTTTTTTTTTTTCTTTCCTTCCTGTTTTGCTCTTTCTCCCAATCAGGATTTCCCCCAAAGTCTGCTAATCATACATCAGTGTTTAAGAGTCAGAGCCACTCAGGTGGCACCCTCAGTGTGGGCTGACCAATTCGGCTGGAGATGACTCATTTTCAGTAACTGAGGCCTTTTCTCTTAGACCGGTCAGTTTTCCCAGAGAGGAATTCTTTAATTTCTTGCCTAGCAGAAGGGTCGTGGTTGTAGCAGAGCATGGTATAAGCCTAGTGGCCAACATTCTTGTGGCTAACTAGAGGAAAAGAGTTAGAGGTCCTGTTAGTATGTGAACTCCATAATCTCAGCTGTACTGCTGTATCTTTGTCTCCGTGGTCTGGTGTCCTCAGATCCACAGTCCTTCTGGTTTAAATCCTCCGGAATGAATGTCTTCTGCCATGATGGAGGTGAGGTATTCACCTGAGGGTACAGGTCACGGAGGGTGTGCAGACGACAGTCTCTTAAAGGCTCTTCAATCAGTCCTCCTTTGTTCAACCCTATCCCCTTCCTAAGAGGTGGGGCTACGGCCTGTAACTCCCAGATTCTTCCAGACTCACTGGACTAACTGAGCTTGTTCTTGGTTTCCCCACAATACTGGCAACTGATGCTCCATTTCTCAGGTCAAAGGTGATCTGATTCCCAGCTTCCAAAATTTTGTCAACTGATCTTTTTGCTTTGTTTCTTCCTGTGGACTAATTTTTTTTCTTTCAAAATCTTTTTACTATCATTTTAGTAAGCAGCCTTCTGGAAGAAAGAGGCATGAATGTATGGTTTCAAGACACCATGTTTGTTTGTTTGTTTGTTTGTTAATTTATTTAAAATAATGTTTGAGAGAGAGAGCACGAATGGGGGACGGACAGAGAGAGGAGACAGGATCTGAAGCAGGCTCCAGGCTCCCATCTGTCAGCACAGAGCCCGATGTGGGGCTCGAACCCGTGAGCTGTGAGATCATGACCTGAGCCAAAGTCGGACGCTCAGTCGACTGAGCCACCCAGGTGCCCCCAAGGCACCATGTTTAAACAGAGATCTGGGTATTTCTGTGGAACAGATGCATTCTCCAAAACCCAGTGATTTTTTTCCAACTCTTGATTTTGGCTCAGGTCGTGACCTTGAGGTCATGAGATTGAGCCCCGCATTGGGCTCAGCACTGGGTGTGAAGCTAGATTGGGATTCAATCTCTCAATCTCACTCTCTCGGCCCCTCCCCATGACACACACACACACACACACACACACACACACACACTCTCTCTCTCTCTCTCTCTTAAAGAAACATTTAAAAAAGTGTAAGTCAGATCATGTCAATTTCCTACTTAAAAATCTGCAAAGATGACCCAGCAATTCCTTTTCTGGGTGCATACCCCCCTCCCAAACTGAAAGGGACTTGAAGAGATATTTGCACACTTTCATAGCATTGCACAAGTTCATAGCATTATTCACAGCAGCCAAAAGGTGGAAGCAACCCAGTATCCAGTGATGGATGATGGATAAACAAAATGTGATATATGCATAAAGTGGAATATTATTCAGCCTTAAAAAGGAACTTTGACACATGCTACAACACGGATGAACCTTGAGAACACTATGCTGAGTGAAACAAGCCATTCCAAAAGGACGAATACTGTGTGACTCTACTTACACGAAGTCCCTAGAATTGTCAAGTTCCTCCAGACAGAAAAGGGAAAGGTGGGACCTGGGGGCTGGGGGGAGTCGTAGGGAGTCTGTGTTTAATGCAGACAGTGTCACTTTGGATGGTGGAGTGGCCGCACTATAATGTGAGTGTACCTGACACCTGGGTGAGATGGTGGGGCACCCGGCTGGCTCAGTCAGTAGAACATGGGTCTCTTCATCTCAGGGCTGTAAGTTCAAGGCCCATGTTGGGTGTAGAGATTGCTTACAAAAACAACAACAAAAAAACCCCACCTTTTAGCAAAACCCCAAACTGGTTAACAGTCAATTTTGTTACATGCATTTTACCGCAGTAAAACCAAACAAAGTCGCTGGTTTCCTAGTTATACTAGGTTCTCTCTGCAAGGCTCCTTCATCTCTCCTAGCTCCTCGTGGCCTCAAGGCTGGGACTCCCAGAGGCGGGGCCCCCAAGGAGTAGACCCCACCCCGCCCCCTGCCGGGTCACACACCCCTGTGACCACACCCCTTCCCCCTCCC